CCAGATTATTCAATTTGACAAATATTACTTTAAATCAAAGTTCTACCATTGATTTCCTCACATTTAGTTAAAAAATAGAACCCTTAGTCCTAATCCATTTATTTGCCATTTGGTGAATCGATTTTGTATTTGTGAGAACCAACAGATTACCATAGCAATCTGACCACAAGCAGTAATATTCAAATGAACTAAGAACAATTAAAGATAGATAAATATCCTAATGTTCTGCACAGGTTATAGATTTTAATTTATTCCTGAGATCTACCTAGCAAATTTCTGCAGATTAAAATTTACAGCTAATTCAACCTGAAATATTATTTTATGCCTATCATTTCAGGAAAATACTGATCAGTGTATCTAACTTACGGATTTGATATTCAAAATGCAACATCAATTTATATATGTTTTTCTTATATAGTATCTCCCTAATGGAAATACATTATTTCTCAAATTAATTTTGTTCTAAAAAAATAATTTGTCTTTATAAATGTTCAAATTCTTTATTATGTGTAAACTTACATTTTGATTAGGAAATGAACAAAAATTTTCTTTCTCCCTTTTTTTGCACATAAAAAACATGTTCTTTGAAATTTGCATCATCATCATCATCGTGTAGCTTGGCCAAAGCCAAAATACTGTGAAAGTTGTAGTGCAAATTAGAATGCATTACTCTTATTTACTTAACACATACTTCTGAGAAAACATTCCTAAATGTGTAATTATACCATATATATAGCTCAAAAATTGAAATAAAATCTAAATCTCTATTGCCATGATGGTGGCATGCAGAGCCATTTGTACGGGCACGTGAGCCCCAGCCAAACTTACCTGCATTATGCATGTGTGCGCCTCCCATCTGATTTTTGGCCTGTTTGAGGCCTTTTTTGGCCTCCCAGAGGCTTGAGGGAAGTCTCTGCAGCCTTTGGAGGCCGAAAAACAGGTATTTCCTGTTTTGGAAATACCAGAAGTGACGAAGTGGGCCTGGGAGGCCGAAAAAGCCCTCAAACGGGCTGAAAATCAGTTGGGAGGCACGTGCATCTGCAGTGCAGGTAAGGAAGTGGCAGGGGGATATTGCGTGTGCATGTGCAGAGAGGGTGGGGGTGCATCGTATTGTGGGTGCACGCTTTCGGCACACCGCAACAAAAAGGTTTGCCATCACTGATCTATTGTGTTTTTCAGGACATTTTATAAACTTTTGGTATCAGTTACTTAATATTACCTAGATGAAAGAACAATGAAGATACACAAACTCATTTAGTTGCTGTAATTTTTCTTCATTTATATATAATTTGCAATCATTCACAGTAGTTTTCTGCCAAACATAACTACCTTTATTTTTGGTACATTAATTTTTCAAATCCATACTTACTAAAGAAATCTTAGGAAGGACTTGCCTTAATGGAGCAAGCAGTTAAAAGTGGCACTGTGGAATGTTTATACTTTCAGACTTGCAAAATTGGTATCAGCCCTTCCAGGTAGACAGGAAACATGACTAGATGAACTAATTCTTCTTCATTTTAAGACTATACTAACAGAATCTATTTTTTTCTCCCTCTGACGGTTAAGCCACTGCAAAGTTCTCTTGTCCAACTGTTTCCTAGGCAGCATCTCCCCCTTGACCCCCAAAATCATCAGAACATCAGAACTGAAGAAGCTTCTTGGATGAAAAGCAAAACATCTTTAAGGAAAAACAAAATAATTCCAGTTGCCTCTTGAAAAAGCACCTTTGGGACAACCATGACCTGGATGGTTGAGAATCTCCACAAACATCCACATATTCCATTACAGATATATAGTTGGATATCTGTTCTGATGATATCCTACTCTATTAGCAGTGATGGCTAACCTTTTCGGCACTGAGCGCCCAAAGCGTGTGTGAAGGTGCGCATACCTACACAAACCCCCAAAATGCAATGAGTGCACATCCCTTGCACATGTGCCCCATGTGTCTCCCCCAGCAAATACACCCTCTGTATGTATGCATGTCCCGGTGCATGTGCGCAGGTCCCCCCGCATGCTCCCCATCCCCTGCACATGCACAACAGAGACCCGAAGACCAGTTGGCCGACAGCAGGCATGCTTGCATGCTTGGGCTTGCACGGCATAGCTGAGCTGGGGCAACAGCTCGCGTGCCCGCAGAGAGAGCTCGGCGTGCCACCTCTGGCGCACATGCCATAGGTTCACCATCTGGCTCTATGGTAATGGATGAGCTCGCCCAGCAGCCTCATGTAATGTTAAATAGGAAAGCACTGAACATTGTGGTAGCCCACATAATAGAGGCAGAGGATGGGACATTTTCCCCCCAATCATCACCTATTTGAATCGATTCTAGAGGAAGGAAGCAAATCAGCACAACACTGTGCTGCCAATTCCCAATCCTCTTAACTGATCTAGGATACCATGGTTGATGGTATTGAAAGCTACCAAGATGATGGATGCACAATGCCATCTCGCTCGTATCAGAGGTCAAAAATCCATCCCATATCCAGGTCTGAATCTTTACTGAAAAGGACTAGATAATTGACTTTCTCCACAGTCCTCAAAGTCTGTTGCGCAACCACCCTTTCAACTACCTTTCCCAAAAAGGAGAGATAAGGTACTGGGTGAAAATTGTCCAACACGGTGGTTTCAGAGATGGCTTCTTGAGCAGAAGCGAATCAGGGCACAGCCTTAATCAAAGAATTAACTACTGCTAGAACCCATACACACATACATGCACACACAAATATGTACTGTATATAGCATACATGGAGACCTATTTGTGTTTTCCATAAGAATTCTGGATGGCACATTGAAATTCTGGGACAAATTGTGTTGAAAATATTGCTGCAAGTACCTAATTTGAAAATGTCAGGTGCAGGAGAATGTGCAAATTATTGAACCATTGCACCAGTTTTTCACATAAGATTTTGCTTAACTTTTTATGAAGATTAGAGCCATTCATGAGAAGAATGCTAAATGACTAGGCACTTAAAAAAGTGAGATGTGAGATCAGATACTTAATGTAAGATGAATAATGAAAAGAGTGAGAGAACACAAGAAAGCTCATCTTTGCTTCACTAATTATAGCAAGACCTTTAACTATGTCATTTAGTCCAAAATATGGAATGCATTAAACCTAATACTGGTAGGTATGCTGTACTATTTCTATGCCTCTTCCTTTTTCTGATGGAAATCTGTTCTAAAAATTGAATTTACAAATATACTGTTGTTTTGAATATTGAAGACAAGTATATTGTTTTCATATTTATTTAACTAATGTAGCCAACAGAAGAAAGGCAACATCAGAAGTGAATTTGGAGAGCAAAACGTTAACAATTTGAGATGAGCAGGGAATACCTCTACATTAGTCAAAAATAAAAAATAATTAGTCAAAAATAAAAATGAATTAAAAATAGAAATTGAAAAAAATCTTGGTTAATGTTAAATATCAAAAAGGCAAGTATGTTGAAAAATAGGTTAAACCTAAGGAGGAAGAAGTCTAACTGTAACAAATTAGACAAGATTATGAATGGCAAGGACAGTTAAATGATAATAAATATTGGTATGGCTAGTCTTTCCAGTTTCCAGTGATAGTATGGCTATGAAACTGAGGTACAAAAATAGCCTTCAAGTGATGGGTTTGGAAATGGTTAGTCACAGCACTTTGGGCTGCAAAAGAACCTTGACCAAATAAAGTTTGACTTTTCTCTTGAGAATAATGATCAGTAACATAAACTCATATATTCTGAATGAGATACTAGAAAAAGCATGCTTAGGAAGGTTGAAAATAAGAGAGAATGCAGGAGAGAATAAAAGAGATTTTGAGACTGTCCTTGGAAATTATTACCCAAGCAAGAAAAGGTAGGGATGATGAGCATTATTTTTGCCATTATCAGTAATATGAAACTTCCTTGAGAGTACATAAGTATCTACGCAGGGATTCTGAAAAAGAAAAAAAAACCCATCGCTACTATGTATTCATACTGTATTACTACATATGATTATTTGGTTCCTGTACTATTATTTTTGAAATTTTTTAGTAATCTTAGCTTTTTCTTTGGCTAGCTGGGATATAAAGTTTGTTTTGCTTATGAACATTTTGTTTTTTTGTTTTAAATTGAAATAAATTATATTGGAAAATCAATATATACAAAGTTCCCAAATAAAATTTACAAGCCCTATGGTATAATTAAATAAAAAGTAGCAACAATTAGGGCCCTTGCTGACTATATTTAACGTTGAATTTCAGGATTATTTTACTTATTTACTTTTATAACTCCTATTAAGTGTTGTCATACTCAACAATTGTCAGCTCCAAAAACAAATAATGTCTCTAAACCAATCCAACTGCTTATAAGGTTGATCACACAACCAACATATAAATAGGAGGGAATTAAAAAGATAGGGCTTTTAAAGGTATAATAGAAATGCCAAATGTTTTCCAGAGTTAAGCGTGGTTTGAATTTAATAAGTAAGGGATAGCAGGTGTTGGAATACCATGGGCCCACTGTGGTAAGTTAAGATCCCCCAAAATGTCTGGTAAGGCAAGTTGAAAGATACTGATAATGCAGCAACAATTACACTGAAATCACCCCAAAATTAGGATTCATGTACCTCAGGGCCAATTATGGCATGTGTTGGTCATTACATTTGAAACCGTCAGCAATTTCCTTTACACATATATCATATTTTTATATATCTATTGTCAGAAAACACACCAACACTTTCCTTTGGAGGACAAGGAAAACGTTAAACTATCCAATATATTCATGGTAAAAATCATAATTCACAGTTGGATTTTTTTTTTTTACAAAAAGTATCCCTGATCCTAATGATTTGAGAAGGGGACTTAAAAAAAAATATTTTAACATTATTTAAACATCTTTAAATAATTTCGAAGTCAACGACCCCAACTTTCTCTCACGCCCTTCGGGGGCTTTCTCTGGAGCTGAGGGAGAGCAAGAAGGCAGCCGAACAACCAGGGACACTCGTGCAACTGCGGCCATTTTAAACATGGGTGCGAGGTGGGGCGGGAAAGGGGTTGGCAGAAGTGTTGGGTTCGTTGTCAAAATAGCTACACCTTCTTTTTCTGTGGGGCTGGCCTGTGGGAAGAGCGAGCCCCCCAAAAGGCCGACAAACAGGCTGTGGTGGGTCGCGTACTGATCGCCGGGGCTTGATCTCGGGGCACCGCCGGGGGCTTGAGGGGAACGCCGCAAGGAGGGGGAAGCGTTGGCCGCCGTACAGCCGCCACAGCCCACAGCCGGGAGGGGGGAAGGGTGGTGGTGGCGGCGGCGGCGGCGGCGGCGAGGAGCAGTCTGGCTCGATTGGGTTCATTCGTTCTTACCGCCCCGCCTTTGGGTGGCAGGCAGCGCAGCGGCCAGAGCGAGCCCGCCGGCGGGACTGCAGAGGCCTTTTCTTCTTCCCGCCTGCTGCAAGCGGCCGAGAAGCTGCTGCTGCTTCTGTTGCCGAACACAATAAAGGGAGGCGGGTGAAAAGAAAGCAGCCGGCAACGTTTCCCTTTCGCGCTTCGTAGGCCCGACCCGGATGAGGGGCCCTTGAGTAGCCATCCCCCATCACACCCGGCGCCTCCAAGCCAGTCGCTGGGAAGTCAGCCGGAGGAGGCAAGGAGGCGGCGGCGGGCGCAGGCCGAAGGGAGAGGCCTAGTGTGTGCCGTACCCTGCACCTCTGAGACGGCGCCTGGGCCAGACCGAGGCGGGGGGGCGAAAGGCTGGTCAGCGCGATGGTGTGAAACGAAAGCAACGCCTGAGCGAAGATGGCCGGTGGTGGCGGCGGCGTCGGCGGCGGTAGAAACGTAGGGAGTATCCAGCAGTCGGGTTTTCTCGAGGGTAAGTGGATTTCGGTGGCAGAGAACCGCGGGTGGGGGGAGGTTGGAAGCGGAAGCCAATTTCCACGAAAAGGAGCCTTTTCCCTGTGGATTGAGGGCGTCCTACTTCCGAGTAAACCTATCTCGAAAGGCGGCTCGGGAAGGTAGCAGCTGGATCCTTGGCGTTTGGGTTCCACGAGTGGGGATTTTATATCCTATAGGTTCGGGAAGTCTTATGGGAGTGAGGTAAAAGAGTAGCAGAAGCGGTTTACTCTACTTTTTTTCTTTCTTTTTATAAAATCCGAACAAAAGCAAGAGGAGAAACCTGCATGCTGGGAGGGGAGCGGTGGTAGGAGGATGGCTGGCAAAGGTTAATATTTCGATATGAGATGAAGCTAATTGAGTAAGACTTTTGTGTGGTAGTCTTCATTATGGCAGCTGCTGGCACTCCTTTTACTTTATTTTCCTTTTGCCCCCAAAAGGTTTTCTTTTTCTGCATTAATTGTTTTAACGATATCTTGAAGATACTGAGGCAGAAAAATCAGTTGATAGAAAATGCTGATGTAAGAATTACTATACCTGGTTTATATGGTTACCCTTCCCCTCAATTTATGTGTTTCTTTTCCATATCTTGCTGGATATCAGTTGGTAAGAAAACAGTTTACAGTGCTATCATAGATACCTTTGCTACCAAGTAAAGGCTTATTCTAGGAAGGTGGGCATGCCTTTACTACCTTAATTGAACATCCATATTAGAAGAAATACCAACTCCAGGCCAACTCAGAAGTCACAAAAATGGGTGGGCTTTCATCTTTTTTATATATTCTGGTTAGAACAAAATATGAAAAGTACCTTCCAAAGTTAAGCATAAAATGCCAGAATAATAAATTCCACTTGGTAATTATATTTTCTTTGATGACTTAAATAGCTTAATATACTGCTTTTCTCTCCAAAAATAATTCAGTGGAGTTTTTTTTTTATTTATAAAAGAGATTCTAAGAATATTTTTTTAGGTGTGTGTTTAATTTTGAGAGTAGGATGCATTCATATGTTGAATGTGCTGTCTAACATTGATAATTTTACTTTCAGTGTGTATCCATGAAATGAGATAATAAGGTTTCATACCAGCTCTTCAAATTCTGTGAGGAAGAATGATATGAAGGCAGAGTCATATGTTAGTTACTTCTTTGGATTTCTGTGGAAATGTACTGGATTTATTAGCAGAGCAAAGATTAAAGATTATCTTTTTCCTATTATGACTATATGTTGAATAGCATATATGTATACATAATTCAGCAGCAGTGCTTACAGTCATCAATGCATTTCCTACCTGCTTTTTATACCTAAAAAGGAAAACATGAAGCATTCCTGAAATTTAGTGGTATAGGGGTTGTAGCAGTGCAGTGACAGAAAATGACACTGCACTATCAAAGCATGCTGAAACAAAAGGAATACATTGACAGTTGTCTTGTTTGGAAAGTTGTATACATGAAACAGTTTTTTGTGGTTTGACAGTTTTTGCCGCATCATAGTAATAAACTCTTCACAAATGTTTGTGAAATATAAATGGCTACAATGTCGTATGAAGTTGTTTCATAAATAGTGCATAGAAGCCCTTATGCAGTTTAGTCTCAAAATGCTATTAATAAGTATATTTTAGTGTGCTATCTCTGTACAACCACAGGGGTGTAGTCCACATTAACTAGTATCCCACTTAACATGTCAGATAGATTTGTAATCAATATTGAACCATTTATTTCATTTTTATTAATACATTAGTAATAATTATAAAATATTAGCATTGTTTTGGAACTTCTCGCAAGTAGATAAATGTGCTTGTATATAAATGTGTAGATACATGAATTATTGCTTGGATTGCGGGATTATTTCATTCAGCTTGCTATTTAAATCAAATTGGGGGTAAAATTCTCTGCAATAGCATGGAAAACAAGGCTATTTTGACCCTGAAGGGCAATATTTCCTAAATATTATTTTCCTATATTAACATCTGAATTGCATGTGTAATAGTTCGATTCACATGTAATGATTTCAGAACAATTATGGCTAGTGTACCTCCCTATTTTTGTTGCATAATTTAATCCAGGTATTCCAAGCTTCATTTTCCATCAAGATTTTAGAAACCACTTGGTTCTTATTTTAATATATTATCTTTCTAATCAGTTTGCAGTCTATAACTATCCTCAGGAGCAAGATAATTTAAGACTGAACTGGGCCAACAGAGAATAAGGAACAAGGAAGAAGCATTGAATTATTGGAATATACTGAGAGGGCAAGATGAACAGGATAGGGGTGTCTTCATTGATGTCAGAGAATAACCATGGTATGAAATAAAACAACAGCAGTGACATTTGTAATTTTGAATAGGTATCATAGATTGCTACGGTGACAGTCACAGAAAGACTACCATAAAAAGGAGGAAACATAAAATGGCTGTTGTAGGTGAATGGCTAGTTTATAGTAGAATAGCAAAATCTACATAGGGCAAATAGAAAGTGGCTCTTTTAATAGACAATCATGGCTTATATGGGGTCACCTTCAAATACAATCAAATTAATACATGATGTGTATGACTTTGTGCAGTTTCTATACTGATTTTTAAATCATTTTAATGAAAAATTAAATATTAGTTCTGTATTGGTATGATAAAGGTAGTTAACATATCAAAGCAGAATTTGCACCAAATCAATATCAAATAGAAAAATGAAGCTTGGACCATTCCTTGCTGCTATAATTTGAATATTGTGTTGTACATGTTACTTATGTTCATTACACCACAAGCAGGAGCTTGTTATATTAAATTTATTAATGATACATTGATCTCATGTTGTTATATCTCTAGAACAGGGGTCACCAACCTTTTGGACCTCGGGGACCACCAAACTCATAATTTTTGATCCCAGGGACTACTAACTGGTTCTGTGGGCATGGCCTAATTTGTGGGTGTGGCTTGGTGGTCATGTGACTGGCTGGGCATGGCTTGTATGTAAAATATAAATATTTATATAAATATTTATATAAATATTGAATTTTTTATTAAAAAGAGCAACTTTTACCCAAAATCAGGCAAAGCAGGCAGGCAGGCAGATCTGCCATTGGCTAGATATACCTTTTCCAGACATTTTTAAATCGATTGTTGTATATAATTGCAATCAGTTTATGCTAATCTCTTTATCTTTCTAATGTTTTCCAGATACGTTGTAGCCACATTTATTTACCTACCGGTATATATTTATATATCATCCCAGTTGAATAATAGTTAAATATTTATCAGCATGATCAATGGCTGCAAGATGGGAGAGATAGTATTCATTCACAATACAAAATTGAGAAAAAGCAACTTCATGGTACTGTTGGGAATTGTATGAATACATTCTGATTGAGGCTATGATACATTATGTATCATGTTCATGTTTACTAGTCAACATGTATTGCATGAACCTAGACCGGTGATGGCGAACCTATGGCATGTGTGCCATAGGTGGCATGCAAAGCTATTTGTGCCGGCACACGAGCTGCAGGCAAACTTACCTCACTGCGCATGTGCATGCCTCACAGCTGATTTTGGGCCGGTTTGAGGCCTTTTTTGGCTCCCCAAAGGCTTGAGGAAGGCTTCTGCAGGCTTTGCAGGCCAAAAACTAGCCCCATTTCATCACTTCCTATTTTTCCGGAAATACCAGAAGTGATGAAACGGGCCTAGTTTTCGGCCTGAAAAGCCTGCAGAAGCCTTCCTCAAGCCTCTGGAAAGCTGGAAAAGGCCTCAAACTGGCCGAAAATCAGCTGTGAGGCTCAGTGCAGGTAAGAGGGCAGTGGGGGTGGGTGGGTGGGGATTGCATGCCCATGCGTAGGGGCGTGGGGGGCGTACATTGCCTTCTCGGTGCTGGCACACAAGTGCGAGCATTCAAGCACATGCACAATTTTTGTCACAGGCACCCAAAAAGGTTAGCCACCACTGACCTAGACACTGTAGTTTGAAAAAAATAGTAGATTTGCTACTTTTATATACACTGCTCAAAAAAATAAAGGGAACACAAAAATAAGACATCCTAGATCTGAATGAATGAAATATTCTTATTAAATACTTTGTTCATTACATAGTTGAATTTGCTGACAACAAAATCACACAAAAATTATCAATGGAAATCAAATTTAGCAACCCATGGAGGTCTGGATTTGGAGTTACACTAAAAATTAAAGTGGAAAAAAACACTACAAGCTGATCCAACTTTGTAATGTCCTTAAAATAAGTCAAAATGAGGCTCAGTAGTGTGTGTGGCCTCCACATGCCTGTATGACCTCCCTACAACACCTGGGCATGCTCCTGATGAGGTGGCGGATGGTCTCCTGAGGGATCTTCTCCCACACCTGGACTAAAGCATCCCCCAACTCCTGGACAGTCTGTGGTGCAACGTGGCATTGGTGGATGGAGCGAGATATGATGTCCCAAATGTGCTCAATTGGATTCAGGTCTGGGGAACGGGCGGGCCAGTCCATAGCATCAATGCCTTCGTCTTGCAGGAACTGCTGACACACTCCAGCCACATGAGGTCTAGCATTGTCTTGCATTAGAAGGAACCCAGGGCCAACTGCACCAGCATATGGTCTCACAAGGGGTCTGAGGATCTCATCTCGGTACCTAATGGCAGTCAGGCTACCTCTGGAGAGCACATGAAGGGCTGTGCGGCCCCCTAAAGCAGTGGTCCCCAACCACCGGGGCCCAGACCCATACAGGTCTGTGGATCGTTTTGTACTGGGCCACAAAGAATGTTTGCTTGAGCGCCGCCATCTTGTTTCAGCGTCCTGAGTTGCCTTAGCATGCTTGGTTAGTTAAGAAATGCCCTACCCAGAGAAGGAAGTGGTGCTGGAGGAGGAGGAGGAGGAGGCAGTAGTGGAGAAGCAAGCAACTCAGGGCGCTACCACTGTGGCGGCTTTGACTGTGTTTCCGAGGCTTAGATGTTGGGAGAGGCAGCAAGGGCTGGAAAAGGGGAGAGCTGTGCAAAGCTC